AAAAAAAAAAAAGAAACTTTCTGACATTCCATTTTTACACTTTCCCTAGCAACATGTGCGTGCTCTTGTTACTCCTAATCTTACTCAATATTTGACCAGCCTTTTTACCTTTTCCGTGGCTGAGTTATGACATCTTAATTTGTGTTTTCATCCGTGATAGTGATGCCTCATTTACTCTGTTCATTGGTATTTGTAGACATTCTTTCATAAAGGAACTTCAAAAGTTTTTGTTGGGTTATTTGCCTTTTTATTGAAGACGGGAGCTCTTTATTTATTTTATATACAACTCCTTTGTCTGATACATGCGTTGCAGATTTTGAAAAAAAAAAATCCCCGAGAGTTGAACCTCACAACACAAAACCTTATTTACTCTTTAAAAGCTGACAGAGATGTAGCTTTAGTTTATCTGTCTTCGATGTTGATGTAGCTGGCAAGCTGCCTTCCCTCACTAAGACCACCTCCACTTTAAGAGTTTTGTTTTTAGTTGGCAAGTAACTGGCTCGGGACCCTTTGGTCGCTTTGGAAAGTTGGGCAAGTACCTTTGAAAGTGCTCAGTCATTTGGATCATAAACTGTTAGAATGCTAGGCTTGTTTCCTAGAGAGAGGTAGGTCGCAATAGCATCCCCTGGGAAGACGCCAGTCTGCCACAACACCCCTGCTCAGTTTAGGAAAAGCCCTGGGGCATGCTGCGCATGCGCCCAATAGCTTGTTGGTCTCCTCCCCCCCAGAGCACCAGCCAGACTGAGTGGCGTTGCTGTGGCAACCGCAGTAAACGGAGTCCTTGGGCAGGTGTGGCTAGAAACCAGCTGCGGTCGTGAACACCTCTGGTAAGTGAGCTCCAGCAGCTGGGCTGTCCACATGAGTCCGCGTTAAATCTGGTAGCGACCCAGAGAGCAGTGAACCCGGCTTGAACTTTTAGGTGGAACTAGTGTGGTCCAGTTTCCCTGGAGCACTTTCCTGGTCCTCCTATGGCAGTTCAAAGCCAACATTTAAGGCAACCAGTGCATGCTAGACACGGGCACAGCTCCTGCCTGCAAGGAGCTGGCAATGCGGGGCAAGAGGCAGCCAGGCAGCCGGCGAGGAGTTAGATCACC